AGCTTACACTTCCCGACGCCATACCATGCGAGGTCGTCTGCTCGTCGGTAATCGATCCTGGGCACTTCTTCCTTCAACAACCGACACATCCATCATTTTCATCCCTATCACATCTTGATATGTATATGATTCGACTTTATAGCCAAGGCACAGATATTCCTGATTTACCTAAACCGTGTCAAAGTAAGTTTTTGTTAAATCAATTTTTTGTCCCAAAAAACGAGTTGTAAATAATTTGCTTCCAGCTGGTTTATTATGCGCGGCTCCAGTGCTTGGCGCTTGGTTCCGTGCAGTCACAGTCAGCTATTATGCTGAAACTGATGAGGTTATGCTAAGATTCGTCGATTATGGTGGTTACACCCGGTTACCTCGAAGTGAATTAAGACAAATAAGGTACTGCAGCGCAGAAAATTGCACCAGATCTCCTTTCCTCATTTTTTTCTATATGTATTCCCTTTCAGGACGGATTTAATGTCATTGCCATTCCAAGCTATTGAATGCTATCTTGCACACGTGCAACCAATTGATGGTAGATTTTTTTGCTTCCGTTATGCTAAATTGTACAGCCAATATGCACGAAAATTTAGGAACCTGGCAATGGGGTGAGGCAGCATTTGCACATTTCCAAAAACTTTGCATGGGCAAAGTAATGAATGCAACAGTGGTTGGATTCAACGTGAGTGATAAAGTACCAATGGTGGAATTGACAGTACTTGATGAAGAAAACAAGGTGAGTGACGAAAGTTTTTGCTTTATGATGTAAGTTGTGGTAGCGCACGGGGACCAGTTCTCGTCGATCTCGCACCGCAAGTACAGCGAAGCTTCAATTTTGTAACTGTACAGTCTCAGAATTAAGGACAGACAATTTTCCCAGGGCAGGGGATGGAACGAAGACAAAAATGATCTTTCTTTTGATTTTTATAGCAGATGGGGACCAATTATTGTCTGGTTGAATAGTGCAGCCAAATACTTGAATTTTGTAGCGAAAAACCTCGAGGACTCGAAAATGCTCCATTCAGCAGGATGAAACGAAGACAAAAGCCAATTTTCTAGTGATTTTTTAGCGCATTGGGACCAGTTTTCGTCGGTCTGGTAATGCAGCTAAACCGAAATAACAATTTTGTAGCGGGAACACCTGAGCGTTTAACAACTTACTCTCTTTTGATGAGAGGGAATGAGAACGAGGCGCCCGATCTTATATTATTTTTTAATACAGCGAAATTCATTCGTAATATCTTATTCTGCTGCTGAAAAATTAGGAATTTTGCTAGAAGTGCAAAAGGCGGGTTCTGAAGAAGAAATCTCCTAAGTAACTCGCAAGTCATTTCAGCCCATACGCGTTGACAAGGACTTAATGGACAATGGTTTCGCTAAAGCATCGGACCCATCGAAACTGCAAA